GTGTGTGTATATATATAAAACTATATGTATCTATATTAAGCTAAATATTAATTTATACTGAAGTCTCGAATTCTAATCCATTATCACATGTATAGTTCTAAACTTTTTCCCTTGCTTATCTGTAATCTCCCACACCAACAGTGAGAAACCTGACCTCCATCATCTGCCTTCCATGGACTTAGTTGTTCTAGTATACACGTTTATGGATTTTAGAAGTGCTAACATGGGAAAAAATGTTGTTAACTAGAGTACAGTGCTTAAGTATAGTATCTTTTGCTTTTAGTTTTGCAGACACATTTCCGAAGTTATTTAAGTCTGTTTTTCCCCTAGTTTCCCTAAGTGAAGTTGCTTCATATTAATAATACAGGCCAGGTGCAGTGATTCATGCCTGTAATCCCAGCAGTTTGGAGGTCGAGGCAGGCAGATCACCTGAGGTTGGGAGGTTGAACCAGCCTGGCCAACATAAATACAAAAATTAGCTGGGCATGCTGGCACACATCTGTAATCCCAGCTACTTAGGAGGCTAAGGCAGGAGAATCACTTGAATGCTGGAGGAGGAGACTGCAGTGAGCTGAGATCGCTCCACTGCACTCCAGCCTGGAAGACAGGGTAAAACTCCATCTCAAAATAATAATAATGATAATGATAATACAGTTAGATTCTTTGTCATAGTCTGCTTTTTGTCCTCAGATCCTCTGACCTGCTACTATATATTTTTTAAATATGCATACATTATGGTTCACTCCATCCTGGAAAGTTCTAGTTGGTTTTGATAAATGTGTAATGTCTTGCATCCACGATTATAGTGTCATACAAAGTAGTTTCAACACCTAAAAAATGTCCTTTGCTTCATTTACCCATTCAACCCTCTTCCTGACCCTGGCAATCACTGATCTGTTTATAGTCTCCATGGTTTTTCTCTTTCCAGTTGTTATGTAAATAAAATCTATAGCATGTAGTCTGTTCAAACTATCTTTTTTCAATTAGCCATTTGTATATAGAACCCATTTTTATGTTTGTGTAGTTTGATATTGGTAATTCATTCTTTTCTTTTTTTTATCACTGAATAGTATTCCATTGTATAGAATTCCATAGTTTATTCACTTATTGAAGGACATTTGTTGTTTCCAGTTTGGCATTATTATTAATGAATCTCCTGTAAACACTTACATGGCATTTTTTTGTGTGGACATAAGTTTTCAAATCAGTTAGGTAAATGCCTAGGAGACCTACTGTTTGATCATATGACGAAACTGTATTTAGCTCTGTTAGAAACTGCAAAACTGCCTTCCAAAATGGCTATACCATGTTGAAATCTCACTGTCAATGAGAGTTCCCATCAATTTGTATCTTCACCAGAATTTGGTATTTTTTAATTAATTTTTATTTATTTGGATTTTAGCCATTTTGATTTGTGTAGCAATATATCATTGTTGTTTTAATTGTGAATTCATTTTTAATATAAGGTTTCATGTCCTTGTGAAAGTTGCCAAGCTTTTATGACTACCTGTAGTGAGTTTTCAAACATAAAGTTATGTAAGAGTTATTTTTCTGTTTCTTAGACACACCCGAGATAATCCATAGATTTTCAAAAAATGAATAAATAAAGCAAATATGGAATACAGTCAGGGTATTCTTTTACTTCTTCAGTTAGTCTTTTTGGTTCAAACAGCACCAACAACGTAAAATATGCTCGTGATCCGCAGCTCAATGACCCTCATTTTCTGTAACAGTAATTAACTCAGTGTACCAAATATAACCAGTGAAAATGAAATAATAAAATACTAAATAACAAAATAGTGAGGACAATAGAGAGTATAAGAATTAACCAAGGAACAAAAGCAGAATAAGGGCTCTACCTCCAAAATAATATGATAAAATGAGGATGAAGGCAAATGAAAGATTTTGAACATAATCATTCTTGATAAATGATCCTTTCAAGTATCCTAATCAATTTTACTTTAAACAGATATCTACAGCAAAAAAGAAATTCGTCTGTTTAAAAAAGTAACTGAATATTTGCTCCACATCAACTGCAGATATGATGATTAAAGATCAAATCCCATGTAACAATTATACATGACCTTTGTTTTCAACTTTTCTTTCTGCTTTGCCTATAACATTTGAAATACCATTTATATCAAAATTCTGCCTAATTATTTCTGTCTTCCAATGTTTCCTTTACTCCACAAAAAGAATAGTAACTTGATTCCAGTATTAGCTGGAAATCTAGCAATCATGGACCCCATATCAGGCTGAGTACTTTTATTTTTGTTTCCACAACCACTGTATAATGGCTCTTTTGCAGTGATTGTTTAAAGAAATAATATTGGACAAGTAAAAGAGAATGAAACTTCAGAGTGTTATTATAGACTGCCACCTTCTTTCTTTCTAGCATTGTCAGATTAATAAATAAAAGCACTGGACATCCATTAAATTTAAATTCTAGATAAAATGGAATAAAATATTGCATGAAACATACCAGAACTAAAAACAAAACAACAACAAAACACACACACACAAATATCTTTTGAAATCCAAATCTAACTGGGTGTCCTTATATTTCATCTTGCAACCCTACCTCCATCTCCATCAGTTGGCTTGTAAGTTCAAGAGGAAAATGACATTGAGAAGATAAAAGAGAAACAGCTGAGATCATTAGGAAAGACAGTAATGCTGCACACACACAAAAAGAAACCCAACACTGAATAAAATATCTGAAGACTCCTGATTTCTTTTTTAAGTAACCATAATATTGATGAATCACAGTTTTCATTTAACTCTTAATGCCTTTGAGATATCTCACCATTTCATATCATAGATGTCTCTACCAACATTTTATAGAGGTCTCCTTTTTCCTTGCATGTCTCTTATTCAACCTGTTTTTTCGGTAAGCAACGTGTTGAACATATAATAGTGCTAATATATAAATAATTACTTTTTTTGTTTGTTTTTGCAGTTATTTAATTACTAGTATTGCAATAAAAAGGCTTTTATATATCTTGTAAGAGCATTCAGATAAGTGCAGTTATGCTGCAGATATTATATTCAACACATAACTTATATAACTGAAATACTACATTTATTTCTGTATGTAAAGAAATTCTTTTAGATTTCAAATAACATTTTGGAGCATAATCTGATTGTAAATTGAGAATTGCCTTTTCAGTTATGAGGAAGATTCATACATCACACATAATTGAAGTTATACTTTTGGTACATTACGGATAGTAGTAATAGTATAAAGGCTAAAGAATAACTATTATAAAATTATAATTTAAAAATATAGCTCAAATGATTCTAAAAAGAGTTTATATTTACTTCTATTTGGGTTTGTTCTTCTATCAGTCCTTTTTCTTTAGATAATCTGCAGTTTTCTTCATATTACACCATATAGGAAAGATTTAGTTGACAGGAGAATGTGTTTAGTTCTTTGAAATAAAGAAATTTAATATAATCAATTAGATATTTTTGTTGCATGGTAATATAACCATATAGAAGTTGAGGCAATATGAGTGATCATATGTGAATAATGTGCATGTTCTATATCTTTATATAGCTTTGTATTCTATATGTATGATCACAAATATATATCTTATACATGTATTATCCTCATATATATGTATATATGGTATATATATGTATATATATCAATATTTGCATAGAGTACTGAATGACCATATGTATCAAAACGAATATTTTATTGCTTTAAAAATATATTTAGTATAATTAGCACATTAAAAACATGTTTAAAATGAAAGCATTGCTTTCAGTCTAAAATTATCAGCTGTTACATATTATTTCAGACTCTCTTATCATACATACTATCTAAATTTAGCCCACAATATAGGTACTGATTTAGATATAATCAAGCTGGAAATGTTACATGCATAGCACTTAAATTATGACCACAAGTTAATTTCTAATCATTCTTCAGTTAAAACAAATAAACTCTGACATATTAACTTTCAGCATTATGATATTATTACTGCGAATACTGTCAACTCTTCTTCAGAATAAAATATCTCATTTTAGAGTCGAGATATAGAAAAATAAGTTTAATCAAAACAAAGTCAGAGAAGGTGAGACAATCAGAAAAAATATATTGTGTTAGAGATTCCTTTAGACAATATGTTATATATAATAAAGCTAACCAAATTCTGTTTTATATGGTGAAATTTAGTATTGTAAGGGGACACTTTTTTTTTTT